ATGGAACTGAAGACCATTCTTCTAAATGAAGTATCACAAGAATGGTAAAACAAACACCACATGTATTTGCCATCATTAAATTGAAACTAATAGATCAACAGTTATGTGCAAATATGGAAATAACATTCATCAGAAATCAAGCAGGAGGAGGGGGAGGAGAAAATGGATAAGTTCACACCTAATGAGTACAATGCACACTATCTGAGGAATGAGCTCACTTATTACTTTGACTCAAATGGTACAAAAGTAATTTATGTAATCGAAATGTTTGTGCCCTGGTAATATTCTGAAATGTAAAAATAGGGCATGCCTATAGACTCTAATATAATTTGAGAAAAAGTGAAGTCATTATATGACAATTTAAAGCAAAAGGAAGATATGGGATCTAAATCTGGAGAATTTAATGCCAGCAAGTGACAGTTTGATAATTTTAGAAGAGATTTGGCTTGAAAAAATGTCTAGAGAACAGGAGAAGCAGCTTCTGCCAACCAAGAGGTAGTAGATGAATTCCCAGGCATCATTAAGAGAATCTTGAAAAGAGATATCTTTCTCAACAGGTTTTTTTTTTTTTTTCAGATATAAAGCCATCCTCATATAGCCATCTGATCTTTGACAAAGCAGAGAAAACATACACTAGGGAAAAGAATCCCTATTCAATAAATAGTGCTGGGAAAATTAGATAACCACGTGTAGAAGACTGAAACAGGATCCACACCTTTTACCTATCACAAAAACCAACTCACGATGAGCAACAGACCTCAACCTAAGCCATAAAACCACAAGAATTCTAGAAGAAAATGTTGGGAAAACTCTTCTAGACATTGCCCTAGGCAAATAGTTTATGAGGAAGACCCCAAAAGCAATGACAGCAATGACAAAAATAAATAAATGGGACCTGATCAAATTAAAAAGCTTCTGCACAGCAAGGAAATTATCGTCAGAGCAAATAGACAACTTACAGATGGGGGAAAATATTTGCATGCTATACATGTGATAAAGGGCTGATAAGTAGAGTCTATAAAGAACTTAAGCAAATCAGCAAGAAAACATCAAACATCCCCATTAAAAAATGAGCAAAAGAGATAAACAGAAACTTTTCAAAAGAATATATACTAATGGCCACAAACACATAAAATTCTCAATATCTCTAGTCATCAAGGAAATGCAAATGAAAACCACAACGAGATATCCCCCAAAGTCAGAAAGTACCTTGCCAGCAAGGGACTGCTTTTTAAAGTTCTGTTGGTATTGGATAATGCCCTTGGCCACCCAGAACCCCATGAATTTGACAATGAAGATGTTGAAGTGGTCTGCTTGCCTCAAACACAATGTCTCTAATTCAGTCCCTAGATCAGAAGGTCATAAAATCCATTGAGTCTCATTACACGTGGTACCTTATGGGAAAGATTCCCAACACTACCAAACAGAATCCTCATAGAGGGAACATCATGAAAGTCTGGAAGGATTACACCATTGAAGATGCCATTGTCATTACACAACAACTTGTGAAAGCCATCAAGCCCAAAATAATAAATTCCTGCCAGAAAAAAATATGTCCAAGTGCTGTGTACAACCTCACAGGATTAATGACAGAGCTGATCAAGGCAGTCATGAGAGACTGTGGATATGGCAAAAAAGGTTGGGTGTGAAGAGTTTCAAGACATGGATCTTGGAGAAATCCAAGAGCTCACAGACACCACACCAAAGGAATTGACAGAAGATAACTTGATGGAGATGAGTGCTCCTGAACCAGTGCCAGACAATAAGGAAGATGTGAAAAAGCAGTTCCAGAAAAAAAAAAAATTGGCACTAGACAGTCTGTCAGAAATGTTCCAATTGCTCAAGACTGCTTTTGACTTCTTTTACAACATGAGCCCTTCTATGACACAGGCACTGAAACTAAAGCAAGCGGTGGAAGAATGATTGGTACTGTATAGAAATATTTTTAGAGAAATGAAAAGCAAAAGTCAGACAGAAATTATGATGTATTTCCATAAAGTTACACCAAGTGTGCCCACTTCTCCTGCCTCCCCTTCTACTTCCTTCACCTTCTCTGCCTCTGACAACCATGAGACAGCAACCCCGACCTCTCCTCCTCCTCCTTGGCCTACTCATTGTGAAGACGATGAGGATGAAGACCTTTACAATGATCCACTTCCACTTAATGAATAGTAAACATATTTTCTCCTCCTTGTGATTTTCTTAATATTAATAAAATATTCTTTTCTCTAGCTTTATTGTTAGAATGCAGCATATAAGGTATATAGCATGCAAAATATGTGTTAATCAACTGTTTATGTTATTGGTGAGGGTTCCAGTCAATAGTAGGCTACTAATAGTAAACTATTAGGGAGTCGAAAGCTAAACCTCGATTTTCAACTGTGCAGAGAGTCATTGCCCCAACCCTCATGTTGTTCAATGGTCAACTGTACATAGATTAAAGAAGACAAAAACGAATATGGGATGCTATAAATAGGTCTATAATGAATATAATTGGAATCCCAGAAGAAGGGAAGAAAGGTGGGGAGGAAGCAAAATTTGAAGGAAGTATGGCTGAGAATTTTCCAAAGCTGAAGAAAGAGATCAAATTTAAAACATGTATTACCTTAAAACAGATGACCTCCCAAAAACAAAAATAAATAAATAAATGGGGGAATAATATCTTTGAATCGACAAGAGAAAACCTACAAATTTCTAATCCTATACTTAGTGAAAATAATTTTTAGAAAAATTGAAATAATAATTTTAGGCAAACTCAGAAAATTCAACCCCATAGACATATTCTATAGGAAATACTAAAGAGCATTCTTTAGGCTTAATGAAAATTCCTCAAAGCATAGGGTAGGAGAGGAAGAAATAAATAAGAAACAATAAAAACCATAAACATATGAACAAATCTACATACATCTAGTGTTTTCAAGGGCTTTTTATTGCACACAAGATGCCACCAATTGTAAGTGTATCATTTATTTAATATAACACTGTGAAATAAAATTCACCTAAGATGGGAAATGTAATATAAGACCATCCAGAAGTTGAAAAACAATGGGCTATTTTGGCGCAGGAGTAAATGAAAAACTAAAATGCCTAACAGAAAATAACAAGAAAATGTCTATTTCCCCATCATGCCACCAGGTAGACAATGAGAGGGAGAAGAATATGCCCTGAGAAATTGAACCACAAGCTGATACTCATATACAGTTCTTCTACCTTAATCCATAATAACAGTGTATTCCAAAACAAACTAAATGGAGTAATTAATTTAAATAGTCTCAGGTTTAGTGGTGCCCCTCTTTGATTGCTAATCCTTCTTGACAGAGCTCAACTTAGTCCTGGCCTACAGTGACATAAGACATATACTACTTTTACAGATCTTAAAGTGTGGAAAAATATGTGTCAGCATTAAAATACATAAATATAATAATATAATAAATTGAGGAGGGAGTAAACAGAGTAAAGGAATGTTCTATGACTTTTATATTGGTCAGGAAGAACATAATGCCAGTAATTATTAGACTTTGATGAATGAAGAATACATGCTATAATTTCTAGAGTACTAAAAGATCAATAAAACAATAAATTCTAAGTTAAAAGGGAAAAAATGTAATAATAAAAAATATTAAATCAGAACAAAAGGAGGAAAGAGAGAAAAGAAAAAGTAACATTGCACGGGAAGATACCATAATTCTAAATCTTCATGTGCCTGACAACATGGCTTCAACACATCAAATAAAATGTTTAAAGAATTATAAGTAGACTCATAGTGGAAGATATTAACAATTCTCTTAGTATGGAAGGAAGCAGCACATAAAAAATCAGAGAACAACAATCACAGAGTATGTTCTGTGATCTCAGTGGGAGTAAGCCTGAAACCTAAAACAAAGTGATAACTGGAAGCACATTTGTTTGTAAATTAAGAAATGCATTTTTTAAAAAACTCATGGCTCAAAGAACAACTCACAATGGAAATCAGAAGGAAAGTATTTTGGACTGAATGACAATGAAAATACATTGAAATAACAGCCTTAAATGCACATATTTGAGACAAAGAAAGGCTGAAATTCATGAGTGAAGCATCTAATGTAAGAAGTTTGTGAGACAATAGCAAATTCAACACAAAGAAGTTAGATGGAAGGAAGTAATAAAGATGAGAATCATAATTAATGAAAGAAACAATAAAGAGAGAAGATAAAATCAACTAAGTCAAATGTTTTTTGAAAAGAATAATTAAAGGGAACAATACAATTACTGAGACTGATGAAAAAAGAGAAATAGATATGTGAGCACACACATACATACACAATAATAGGAACTTTAAAAGGGATATAATTTCATATTCTACAGATATTAAAAATAAAATGGATGAAAATTGCAGTGAAGAAGACTTCAACACAATGAGAATTTATAATCATGCAAATATGAAATATGTTTAAAATAGCTTTATAAAATGCAAAATGTGTTTGCTTTTTAACTTGATAACGGCATGTATCACACATTAAGTGCAAGACACTGTGCTAAATCATTTTACTTTTATACCTTTTATTTCACTATTCTTTATATTTTCATCTATGGATAAGAAAAGTGAGACTCGGAGAAGAAAAGTGACTTGTTTTTAATGTCACCCAATCTGTGAGTGGTCTAATCATTAACTCAAGCTGACACCCGGCTTCACAGCCCTTCACACCCTAACCACAGTGCTACACTGAGTCTCAATGACTGCTCCTAGACTGGACACCCTCAAACAGATGCCAGATGTCCTCCTGGTCAGAAACCCAAGGGAACACCTGTGTCGATAGCACTAGATGGCCCCTCAATTCCTTGTGAGGCTAAAGTCCTTCTCCACCCTTGTCTTTTTTTCTTCCAGTCCACTCTTTCTCTCCCTCCACTGCAGTGCATCGTTCTCTTTCTCATATATGGTCAACAGTTCATGTTCTTAACTGCTTGATATGCTTTCACCTCCCTGAGAAAGAAGATGAAGCTTTGTCTCTTCAGATACTTACAAGTTAGAAGAGAAAGTCGATCCATCCTCCCAGAGCCACTGTCCCTCAGGCTGAGGGCGAGAAAGCCCTATCCAAAATGAATAATCAGGCTGGGAAGACACTTGCCTTATTATAAATTCCTGTAGTGAAACAGAAATACAAACACATCAGAGACAGAAAGAGAGATTATTTATTTATATATACATAATATCATTGCTGCTCTTTTATGATGACAAGGGGGAGAAGTTTCTTTTTAAAAATTTAGACACAAATTCACAAAAGTGAATAGTGGCCTGATTATTGTGGTCATGTAAACATGGAGTGTGTTTTAAAGGATTTTTTAAAAGGCAAAACTTGCTTATTTCTTACATTAATTAATTAAAAATAAAAGCATATACCATGTACTTTACTTGCTTAATGTATGCTATTATTATTATTATTAAGAAGAACATTTAAAATGACTTTCTCTTAGGAAAAATTGTCATTACCAATCATCTCCCTCTATTTTCCTGTTCAATACAGACCATAGATAGTTATATAACTGAAGTCCACACTTACCAATTCTTTTGAGCTGTCTATCTTTAGGAGATTAGAGCTTAGCTGAGAGCATTGTCTTTTACTTCTATTCCAGGTATCTAGTGATGTTCTAAATAGATAACAGCTCTTCTCATGTCTAATCCAATTAGGGGGACAAGAGCTAGAAGGAATTTCTGGAACTCCTGGAAACAAAAGATAAGTACCATGAAGTACACAGCATACCAATTCACTCTTTTGGTGCAAGCACCATTCATCTTAAGAGCACTTAATAAATAATCAATGAGTTGCCATTATTATATTTCATCTTAATTCAAACTATAGAGATATGATTTTACAGAAGAGAATACATTCAAATCTCCCTATTTAATTAACATTTTTAAATGATTAACTATAAACATTATTTTAGAGAGCCTACTATCTTTTTGCCAACTATCCTTTTCTCCTTCTTCTTCTTCTTTTTTTTTTTTTTTTTAAACAAGGTTTCTCTCTTTTGCCTGGGTTAGAGGGCAATGGCATCATCATAGCTCACAGCAACCTCAAACTCTTGGGCTCAAGCGATCATCCTGTCTCAGCCTCCCAAGTAGCTGGGACTATAGGTGTGTGCTGCCATGCCTGGCTAATTTTTCTTCTTCTTTTGTTTTTTTCTATTTTTTTTTTTTGTCTTTGTAGACATAGGGTTTCACTATTGTGCAGGTTGGTCTCAAACTCTTGGGCTCAAGTGATCCTGTTGCCCCAACCTCCCAAAGTGCTAGGATTATAGGTATGAGCCACCATGCTCAGCCCTATCCTTCTCTTCTTGATTTTTCTTCCATTCCTTCTAATTCAGCCCAGAACTACCTTTCTCATGGTAACTCCCTAAAATAAGCCCACCCAAAATCAATCATTAAGATACACTATAATTTCATGTGACTTATTTTATGATGTGAGACCTATTTCAGAATAAGACTTTTGAAATAAGAAAAGTATAAGGTCAATTATTCACATGAAAGAATACCTCTGTTATATATTATTAGCTACTTGATAAAAATACTGAAGAGGTGTGAATCCAGAGATGGAAAATTATAGTGAAAATATTGTCATAGTCAATTATGATGCAATTAGAAGTAAAGATCAAGTGCACATAAAATCACAACTAAATCAATGAAATTGTACCACTGGAGCCAAATTTAATGAGTTTTCAGGAATATATATATATATACATATATATATATATGAGGTCTATCTATTCTATATGTTTATAATTTAGTTTCTTTACTCTTGGCAACATTTTCCTTTCTTTCCCTTTCCCTGCCATTCTTCCCTTCTAATGTTCTATTATGTATTTTAACTGTATCATTTTTTAAAATGTCAATTCCTTAAGGGGAGACAATAGTTTTCTTTCCTTTGCATCAAATCATATAATTTCCTGTGGGTCTAAGCCCATAGCCAGTGATAAATCAGTTACTGATTTAAAGGAAAAAAAATGTCCAACTTAGAACTGTTTATCCAAATGCATGAAGTGTTTATAATGTTACCTTGTTGTATATACCATGGGACACATTACACTAAGTTAATACTGGTAAGTGTGCATGCCTTAAATGTACAATCATTGGATCTAAGCATACTCTCTTCATGCCACTACCCCAGTCCTTAGCACCAAGAATTAACCCTCTTGAATCACGATTCCATTATGCCTTTAACTATGCCCTTGCCTGTGGTTTTGAGAGCCTTGGTAGGAGCCACACTCTCTTCTAAAGATGATTGTGTGGGATGACTGTGGTTCTCTTTATTTCTTGGTGGAAAGTTGTCATTCTCCAATGAGTTGCTCTTTGAATTGGATCTCCAAATAGCTTCATAAACCAACAACAATAATAATGACAAAAAAAAGTCATTCTGCTATGTTTGAAAATTAAAACCCCAAAACCCATATGTTATTGGAATCTAAGGAGATACATTCTTGATTAATGAGAGATGACCTATTGTTGATGCAGAGGTATAGATGATAGATGTATAGATAGATAGAAAGAAAGAACTTCCATAAAGGAAATGTAGTAAAAAAGAGAAAAAGGAAGCAGGTAGAGAAGAAGAAATAGAATGACAAAGGCAGTAAGAGGCAAATGGCAGGGTCAGTTGGAGCCATGATAGATTTGAAATGGTATTAATAACAAATCTTCCATATTTCTTCCATTACTTAAAAATGAGAGCACATTGAGAGCCTGCCTGGTGCCTACAACACAGAATGTACTCAATGAACATTTGACTAATTAAGGAATCTCATGAGGACACTCTGAAGACATAATATTATTTTATTGACAACAGAATACATGTGCTATGAAATCTAGGGAAAGATATTTATTCATCACAAAATATCTTCTTAGCACTTAATAAGTGCCTCAGGAAATTTCTGGTATATTCAAAGGAGTTTATATTAAAAAGCAGGACTATAACTTTATGGGAATGTGTAGGAAAATAAACAAAAAGAATAAAAAAAATCAGGACTAAAACAATTTCCTTCAATCATGAGACTCATAAAAATAGCTTATAGTCTCTTTAGTGAATTTATTTCATCAGAAACATAGCACCATATTTTACTTCATTCTCCAACTCCATGGGTTTCTTTCCATTAATTTATCGTTTGAATTCCACAGTTTTGAAACTAGCTATTCAAGAGAGGTAGTACAGCAACATAGTTAGGAGTATGAGTTTTTGAGACAGATCACCTGAATTTCTAATCACAGTCCCATCACCAAACATTATATGACCCTGGAAAATTGAAATAGCCTCCTAGTTGCTCACTTCCCTTATATGTAAAATGGGAACTAATAGCACCAACTCAATACAGTTTATGTACAAATTAAATTATACTATGCATGTCAAGCCCTTAAAAAAGTAGCTGGCACATAATAAATGCTTACTAAATGTCTGTTGTTGTTGTTGATCTCCCCCAACAATACTCACCCATGGTACCGAGGACCACAGCTATCACCAGTATTATCAAGCATAGGATTCCCAAAGCTACAGCAATGGGACGCCAAGGAAGAGATGCCCCACACGTTCCTGAGGAGCAAGGGAGCAGAAAGTACACAAAGAGGATGATGGATCATGGAGCATTTTAATTCTACAGTTCATCAAAATCTAGCAAATTCTAAAGTGAATTATTAACCACTGGGGTCTAGATAACCTAGTCACCTAGGATTAGCCTGAGTTTTCTCCACCTATAGGGTACCTCTTCTTTAGCTGCTGGAATTGTAATTTTGGCACATTGCTTTGATATCTGTGCACGCCTAATTTCAGCTCCACATTGATGTCTATAGGTTTTGAAACCATCAGGATCTCCGAAATCTTACTCATTCTTAGAGGAGACAGCTTAATGCAGGGGAAATAGCACTGATTACTAAGGGTAACTTTCCCTTTTTATTTATTTGTTGCATGACCCAGAGCAAATTACTTCCTCTGTTTTCTTCATTTCTCTTTGTGAAATTGGGGCAATAATATCTCAAAGGATTATTGTGGGATTTAAATGAGATAATACATGTCAAAGTACCTAGTTTAGAGACTACTAGCACACAACAGGTTGGTTGTTATAGAATACTGTTTTTCCCCACATATGCGTAAAACACGTGCCTCCCGACCTCTTGCCTCATCCAATTTTTCCACCCTTCCCCAATAGGTTGCCCAAGAAAAGAATTGCATAAGTGGTAAGAGGAAAATAATTGTGCAATGTGAATAACCAGAAAGCGGAAGAAAGCAAATTCTCATGTAAAAACACATGAATAACCTCTCTCTCAATGATAACAGGGAACTGATTTTGTATTAATATCACACATAGAGAACATATCTCTGCTTTTCACTGAGAATAAACAGGAAGGACATTTCATAGAATTGTCACATATATGTTTTTCTTCACTGGTACACCAAAAACTCCCTTTGGTTAAAAAAAAATCCAGATCAATCTCTTACTGCAAAAATGCATATACATTGCATTTATACACTTGCATATACATTGCTTATATACACTTCTTTTAAGTTTCCTTAGCCTCCATTCTATAATCTACCCCTTTATATCAAAAACAAATGATTTGCTCCTATAGATATTCCTTCATCATTATATATCATCATCACACTTATTATCAGCTCCTCACTGATTGTCTATTTCTACAGAAGAGATAGATTATATTTTCTACCATCATACATATTTAGTTTAAATACTACTAATAATTGGTCACTGAATAGTTTCCATGAACAAAGGCTAAGGGTACATTCAAACGATCTTCAGTGACTTCTGAAAACCTTTAAAAATATATCAATGATAGCTCTGCAAATCACAAGTCTCCCAAATTTTCTCCACTTAAGTGTTTTAGCTGATGAAAATGAGAGTGCTGGCCGGGCAAGGTGGGCTCACGCCTGTAATCCTAGCTCTCTGGGAGGCCGAGGTTGAGCTCAGGAGTTCGAAACCAACCTGAGCAAGAGCGAGACCACATCTCTACTATAAATAGAAAGAAATTAATTTGCCAACTAATATATATAGAAAAAATTAGCCAGGCATGGTGGCGCATGCCTGTAGTCCCAGCTACTCGGGAGACTGAGGCAGTAGGATTGCTTGAGCCCAGGAGATTGAGGTTGCTGTGAGCCAGGCTGACGCCACGGCACTCACTCTAGCCTGGGCAACAAAGTGAGACTCTGTCTCAAAAAAAAAAAAGAAAAAGAAAAAGAAAATGAGAGTGCTAAAAGCAGAAATAGTTTTTTAAAATACCTTTCTCTGAGACCATAGGTATCCTGCTGATGCCAGGAGAGTTGAAGTGTAATTGAGTATATCCATCTTCATCCACATTTTCTACATCAGAGTGATATTCCATTATTCTCTAGAGTCCCTGAGTAGATAGAGCATTTGAGAACTTTTTCCTTTCTGCTTTTAAGATGACTGCTGTGGACAAAGGAAAATCTATGAGTGGAATCATGTGGGATAGGAGTGGAATCATGTGAGATCTAGCAAGTTGAGCATAAGTAGTCCAACCAGATACTCAAAAGCAGGAAATGAAAACTGTGCTGTGGCAATTTCCCATTTGTACCTTTAGATCCTGTTTCTGAGGCTGCTGGTTCTTAGGAAGCAGTAAAGGCAGCATAGTGGATAGGTCTTTGTTTCACACTGAATATAAGAAACATTTATAGATTAATGTCTTATGCTGCCTTCATTAGTTTCACAACTGATTTTGACATCATTAATCGACTCTGCCTATATAAAACTATGAAACAATTTTGGTACTTTAAATTTACCATCACTTTGCTGTAAATACACATTCGTGCGTTTATTAATGTATTAATACTTACTCATTCAGTAAACATTTATTGAATGCCCACCTTTTCAATTGGTACAATCTGGGGATACAAAGATAAATGAAACCTGTGAAGCAGCTCATTGCCTAATAGAGAAAACCTACAGATAGCTATATGAAGGATGTCATAGGAGTGGTTGTTTTGTTGTAACAACAGAGAATGCAAACAAATCTCTTTGGCATTTGTCACGGATTAAAAATATGAAATAGTAAGTATTTATTGAACAATTACAATGAGCTAGATACTACGTGTTACATGTGTTTTCTCATTCAATTTCAGTTTTCCAAGTCTATATGGTAGGCATTATCATTCCTATTTTCAAATGAAGAAAATTGGCAAAGAAAATATAGTCCATTGCTCAGGTTTAAGAAGCTAATTAAAATATTAGAGCAAGGCATCAAACCAAAGTCAACTCTTGCTTCAAAACCCATGATCCACTACACTGTTTCCTTCATCGGTCCATACACTTATGTTGCAAGTAACTGTTTATGGAGCATTCTGGGACTGAAATATTATGCTAAAATATTTGTGGGTTTTTTTTTTCTCTCTTCTAGTTTCCATAGCAATATTCAAATCAATGAGATACGGAAAACACTCATCATTGCGGAAACCAGAGAGATGATGTCCAACCTATTTACCTGACTTTGAAGCTGACAGGATGCAGGAGACATCTTACTGTTGGCAAAGATCAGCAAACCCAGACAGTAAAGTGATGAGGGACAGAGTTCACTCAGCAATCCTATTGCAGTAGGGAAGAGGGCTCAGCATGAACAGCACTCAACTTCCCCAAAACCAAAGGCTGAAGACATTTTAAAGGCTGGGGTGTGCTAAGGAAGAAACACTGCGTGGGTTGTAAGGAGGATTAGTCAGTGTGACTAGGCCATCTGGGTTTGTGAACTGACACTTCTCCAGAAAAGAGATAAACTCCTCATATCTTCATGACAGGCGGCAATAGAGCAAGTTGAAGCAAAGCACTCAGCTAGGTTGGCCCTTATTCTTCCTCAGCAACTGGGAGAGAGAGCAAGAGTTACCTCTCTGAATGTTTGCATTTCAAAGAAATAGCTCTCAGGTTCTTGAGAAAACAGTTCTGGGTGGTAGATTTACTTCTCAAGGAGCAGAGGAAGGATTTACACTGCAAGATTTCTAAAGTAACCACTCTAAGAGGAATTCAGAAGCTTATCTATCACCAGGCTCTGATTGGAACAAAAAGTAAATTCTCCTAGCAACATAGAGCTTGCAAAGCCTACCATTTTAAGTAGGGCCTGGGGTCATCCCATGGACGTGGCCTAAGTTACTAGAAGTCATCCTAGAGTTTGTCAAGTCTCTTAGTGCAGAGGTTTCTGAGGAATTGTTACATGCTGAGGTTTCTGCAGTCCTCGCTATCTAACACATGTCAAAATGGAAGCAATCTCAGTGAAGAGTAAATAAATGAGTTTCTCTGCCTTACCCAGTCTGCCACAAAAATCTTAACAAGTTTTTGCAGACATGTTGCAAGGTAGTAGTGTGGATCTAATCTCAATATTTATCAGTCTTCCATTTCTATAATGAAGTTCTTAGAAAGCAGAGTAGTGAGATTCAGGACACGCTATCCCAAAATATGGCAACTTGGGATTTGAGAAAACAGAAGCAGAAAGTTCGCTCTCACCATTTTCCTGCCTTTCTTCCCTAAAGCAAGTCAGAAGACTCTCATTTGAAAGAAACATTCCTCTATCTGAAGAAACAGAGCCACCAAGAAAAATCTAAACAGGCCCTGCTAAGTTCCTCCCAGTTTGTTACCATTAGATCATATCCTCTTGTCCAACATAGGGGAGAAAAAATAATAATATTATTATTATTTATAATAATAATTTTCCTTACTCATCACAAGGTTCATAACTGAGACCCCTATAACAAAAGACAGATTAACAAAAGAAAAGCATACCCATTTTACACGATGAGAGAGCCTTCTGAAATGATGACCCAAAGACCAGGAAAAACTGTGTATTTTTATGGACAGTCAAGCAGAAGTATAATTGGAGGACAAAAGGTTATAATCTAATGGTAATAAACTGGGGTGAATTTGGCAAGTCTTATTTGTTCAGATTTGTTTTCTATGTCTCTGTGTGATGTTCCTTCCTTCCAGGTATAGGGCAGGACACCTGGCATACTAGTGTCATCAGGGGAGAAGGGAGGGAGAAGATCAGAGAGTGAGCACCCTAGGTTTTAAGGCCTGTTTCTAGGGAGAAGCACAGGGGAACTTCAGTTTCTACGGCCTGCTGGAAAGAGGGGCCTGGAGAAGGTCAGAGAGACCTTTCTGCTTCTGCAGCTTTCTCAATTTTCTTTAGCCTAAAATATTCAGTATGCCAAGGTGTATTTTGGGATATTGTGTTCTAAGCACTGACATTAAACATACTTTCCCATGACTGCACACTCTTCATCAAACCTAAACATAAAAATACATAAGCTCCTCTGTTTCTTCAGGTATTCATTTCCTTGTGAGGGCTCTCATGTCATGTAAAACTTCTACTAAAAAATGTATATGCCTTTCTCATGTTAATGTGTGCTTTGTTCTAAGAGCCTCAGCAATGAACCTAGTGGTGGGTGAGGAAAAGAAATCTTTCCTCCTCTACAAAGGGAAATCATGGTCTTTTCCACAGAGTGAATAAGTTGGCTCAAGGAGGAAGGATCAACCTATTTAATAGAACTAGAGAACAATAGAGTGGGGGAAATCTTCCAGGCAGTTACAAGTAGCTGTCTTTTTACTATCAGTTCAGACCCCCATTGGGAGAATCTTCCCCTGTGTAATGGCTTTCATCTGTGACTACTGTCCTCTATTTAATCTCAATCCTATAAAGACAATTGGCTCTCTAAATTCCCAAAGAAGTTTTTCAATAAAAAACTTTAGTTTTTCTCCTTTTGGGGGTCTTTTTGTCCGAATAAAACAACTAAAGATTTATTACACAAATCATTAACAAAGAAGAAAAACAAAACAAAGTCATCAGTATTTCAAGGCACTTGGGGGTGTGGAGGAGAGATTGTGTGTTCAGAGAAAAGTTCCCCTCATTAAACATGAATGTAAGAAAGAGGTGAAAAACAAACCAACCTAACAAAACAAAACAAAAAAAGAACACACAACAAAGTAACAATTTTCTAATTTATATTCTCAGTGAAATTTGATGAAAACTTGCATTTATTAAGCAAGGTGGTCTTCCAAGAGAAATGATTAATCTGAGAAAAGAGTTCTTATATGTGCCAAACACATTTTATAAACTAAAAATACAATTAATTGAATCAAGAGGCAGACTGAATCTCACATCAATAAAATGACTGAAAGAACTGAGTTCACAAGAACTGAGTCAATTTGGCCACTCACTATTACATATATTAAGCTATTGTCAACAGTACTGTTTGCTCCCAAAATTAAATCTCAAAAGATAATATTCTTCCCAAACAAATGTTGGTAGGTTTACTCACTAGATCAGGAAAAGGAAATACAGGAGAGTCTGAAGTATATGTCCAATGTGACTTTCTGGAAAATTCTTATCAACAAATGAATAAAGAAAAGTAATTATCAAAAAGACACCTGCACTAGAATGCTTTTCACAGCACAATTTACAATTGCAAAACTGTGGAATCAACCTAAGTGCCCTTCAATACATGAGTGAATAAAGAAAATATGGTGTGTGTGAGTATGTGTGTGTTTCTCAGCCGTAAAAAGGAATGAAATGATGTCATTTGCAGCAACTTGGATGGAACTAGAGACCATTATCCTAAGTGAAGTATCTCAGGAATGGAAAACCAAATACCACATGTTCTCACTATAAGAGAATTAATAGATGGGTACACATGGGCACAAAGCAATATAAAGGATGTGAGAAATCTAGAAGATGGGGAGGATGGTGGGTATGGAATAAAAACTTCCCATTGTGTATCATGAACACTATTCTGGTGATGGGCATACCAAAAGCCTTCACTTAAGCATTATATAAGATATCCAGGTAACAAAAGCACTTGACCACCTTAATTAATATATTGAAATAATTAATATATTAAAATAAAAAATAAATTAAAATAATCTAAAAATGTCAGAGGAGCAAAAAAATAAGTAAACATATGAGCATATTGAGATAAATGAATATATGGATTAAATAGAAGATAAGACTATTAAAAACAAACCAAATATTCACTGAAGAACCATTGTAGAAAAAATGCGAAGTCCTCAGAAGATAGCAACACTCGAAAGTACTTTCCCATTTAAAAAAAATCATAAAATTTCACCTTCAATTTGAATATTATTGATAACTTGGGCCTCCTTCCTCCCTCTGTTCCTTCCTTTCTTCTTCCACCCATCCATTAATCAATTGAATGTCTATTGAACATTTAGTACCTCCTCAGAAGCCTGGATACAAAGAAACATGAGGCCCGATCACCACTGTAATTGGTTTCACATAATATTTCAAGAACAAAGACACGTAAAAATTACTTAAATTACTTTAGCATCCCTTGGATTGGGCAGAGCACAAAATTTACTTAGCTTTGCTCACAGCACTATCCAGTGTCTGATTTCATGTAGCTCTCCCACCTTCCCTGGCTCCCAGTCCTCAAAACCATGCTCCTTCTTTCTTCTTTGTGACTTTGCTTGTAGCGTTTAACTGCCACAAAATGGGCTAACATCTGCTGGGACACCAGTGACTTCCTT